GTTACAGATTGTACTCCATCTGTTTCCCTGCATAATGGGTTAACCCTCTTTACCCCTTTAATCAATGGTCAGGACCCCTACAGGACCACAAAGCAGGCATATTTTAGGTGGTGGATTCAGCCACTGAAATATTTCAGCCGAAAACAATCGACAGTGGCCCTTTTTCGCTCTTTGGCTGAGCATTTTAGAGGAAAATGCAAACTATTAAAATAGGTTTACAATAAAATGTCAAACACTTATTTCTAACATTTAACAAATCATTTAAATAGTAACAAAAGTGAGAAATAGTGATTAAAAACGCTGTTTACTTTCGCTATCCTGGTCAGCATAGAAGCATTCAAACAGCTAGAGTTACAGCAGATCAACATTGAAACACATTTTTTCAGTCCTTTAGTGCTTTTCAGCATTCCCTGTATGAAATTTGTTAATGGAAATCTGATAAATAACACTGAATATTATTTTTGTCATCTTTTGGTAGTAAACGTTTTTGCCTCTTGTTCACAGCAAACGTGTTCCCTGGATCCTGCTGAGATTTATGTCTCGTTCTTCTGTATTTAGTAAAAAACCACCCCCTGCTGGAGAAACTTCAGGCTGCTAGGTGGGAGTTTCAAAGCCACATCAATGTTACATATTAGTAACAATGTTACATATTAGTCTCCATCTTTATAGCTCTGAAATTCATAGTTTTATAACTTTTCATATTATTAAGCACTGCATTTGAAGCATTGGTGTTATTCTGTTAATTCAAAAGCATAAAAATAACCGCAAATTATATATAAAAAAATAAATAAAAGAACGCTTTTTTCAGTTTTCAGTTGAGTGGATCCTGAAATTTTTTGTTTCGGTCAGGAATTTTTATTTCAGTGCATCATTAATTCTCAGGACTGCAGTGACACTGACATGGTGGTAATATAGTAGTTATAGTTATAATAATAACTGAAAATATTGGCTGATACAAATTAATTTTTTATTTTAAAGAATAATATACTATTATATAATAACGTAAGTACATTACGGGGACAGAGTTACCCACAATTATTTCTAGTTTTGAGTTATTTACCTCCTAACCTCTTAAAATCCAAGGTTTATTACATACTAATTACTATTTTAGGTTTATTACTACTATTAATTACTATTACTACTATTATTTAGTAACTAAAGGAACTTCAGTGCTAATTCCTAATCTCAGGTTTCATGTAAGTGTGTAATAAAACTATGGGCTGCTGGCTGGCCCTGGCCTGTTAAGCAGTTAATTTTAATTAATTCATTAGCTGGGCTGTTGTATGCCATCCTCAAGCTTAAGGCTTGGTCTGGATGCATTTTACAGGCTACTGTGATTTTAACCATAATGGTGTTTTTGCACTTAAATCACTAGTTCAGCTGTTTATCGCTGTCATATTGTTACAGATGGGGTGTCTAAAATTGGTCAAGACAGTAGCAAAGCCTACTGAGTCTTCACTCTGTTATCAGGACATCACAGGTTCTAATCCCAGTAATATCACAACCAAAGAAGTCACTAATGATCAGCCATGCTCTTCCTCATTGTTCTCAGCCGATTGTTAATAGCGGCTGTTATTACAGACCAACAGAAACATTGAACAGGCTTTATGTAATAATAACTATACTAAAGGTGTAACAATGTTACACATATTTTAAGTCTTAACACATTTCTTAGATTCTGAGATCTTGATTTGATTTTTAGTGTTAAAACATTCATGACTCTACAGGAACTCTATTTATATGCTATGCACCCCCGTTTGATTCAGACGCATCAAATTTCTCCAACAGAATCATTTAAACATACTAATAATTTTGCTATGAATAATGAACATTACAAACTATGGGCCAGGTATCTAACATCTGATAAAACACAGATGTTTCCTTCAGTGTTATGTATGGAGAGTAGTATGTAGTATGGGATTAACCCAAAACCACTATTAACTACTATTAACTATTAAATGACGGTATGTTCTGGATAAAGTTTTCTGGATATAAATTTTATTACAACTTCATTCTAGATGTTCTACAGCTTTGTCAGTCATTTTAGGATCATCTAAAGCTCTGTTTATCATTCTGTACACCTCTCTTTTCTTTTTATTTCATTTGAAACCCGTCAGACTGTACAAGACTCACATATTAGAATCATTCTATACATTTATCTGCAACCAGATTGGTTTTATATTACTGAAAACACTCATTCCAAACATATATATTTTGAGAGAGAGAGAAGAAGAAGAAAGAGAGAGACAGATAGAGAGCCTGTATCTGCCTGTTCGCCCTCCCTCACGCTTTCTTTTCTCTACTGCCCCTTTAGTTTGCCATGACAGCCCACCCTAGAGGCTGAGTGCCATTTCTGGTGTATGAGGGGGGAGCAGAGAGAGAGAGAGAGCCCCAGGGAGGTAGAAATGCGTGTATCTCTGTGTGAGAGAGAGAGAGAGAGAGAGAGAGAGAGAGAGAGAGAGAGAGAGAGAGACAGAGACAGCAGGCCTTGCCTTCCAGAAATATGTGGATGAAATGCGCACATACATTCCATCCACACATTTCAATGTGTTACCGACAATATTTGCAGGAAGAAACTCAGGCCGATATCGAGGTCATCTAAACAGTCGTAAGTGGAGCAGTAAACAGTGTTTCAGTTGACAGCCAAACACTACTGGCCTACTGCTGCCCACCCGACCATCCAAACATCAGAACTGAAAGTAAACTGCCTGTATGTTCTGACAAAGCCTACGTTTATTGTTTAAGGTGGTTAAACCTTCTCAGCTAAAAATGTATATATGTTGTCATCAAATGCATGGGGGCTGGTGTAGCATCATCACACAGAATTATTTAAAATACACTATATATGTAAACACACTACACTATACATTCTCCACACATTTATGTTTAGTATAACTGTGATTGTAGGAGTTTATTTATATAGTCAGTTAATTTACATACAAAGAGCTCATGTATGCATATCATTTATACAGTTTGGACTGCCAAACAGATCTGCGTTTGATCATAAAGCCTTGCAAAAAGTGTTATAGGAAGTTGATTGCTTATGTCTGCAAACATCCAGCAGGGGGAGCTCTCATTGGTTTTACTGATCTATAAAATGGCAATGGTTTAAAAGTATTCTGTGATTAAGACTACGCTGCTCCTTCGGCACAAACCAGCTCACCTCCATTGCGCACTATACTGTTGTAAGCGAAATGCTGGAAAGTCTGTTCACTTGCCAGTCATCTTAGCAACAGCCTCAGGCAGTTATTTACAGTCATACAAGACCATACCTCTGTGGACTTGAATGAATAAACCAGTAAACCTCAAACTGATAGCCGTTTCAAATTCCTGGTAAAACCTGACCATTGTTCGGGCTACTACACATGTATCTCCACAACAAGGGGGTCTTTTTCCCACTTATAACTTATAGCTGCTGGCTTTTTTTTTAAAGGCGGGACTTCTCATTGAGTATTATAAGTTGGTATAGTGTAGTGGGTTACACCTCTGCCTTCTCTGCTGTGGACTGGGGTTCAATCCCACTTGGGTAAGCACCCTACACCAATAAGGGTCCTTGGGCAAGACTCCTAACACTACCTTCGCCTACCTGTGTAAAAACTATCAAATTGTAAGTCGCTCTGGATAAGAGCGTCTGCCAAATGCTGTAAGTGTAAGTAAGTTATTCTATTCATATTTGAACAAGTGAACTGAGCTCTGCTCCTCTGGCTCTGATCTCTGTACAAAGTGATCTTCAACAACTATAAGATTTCAGTTTCATTAGCTTTGAGAAAAGTTAACAACCTTTTGTAACTTCTGATCTCACCTGCAGTCTGTGGTTGAAGTAAGATGAGATAAGAGTAATGGAAATTGAAGCCTGCTAACAGAATTAGCTAGCTAATGTTGACATCGGCTGTTCTGGTCTGGTGTGTTTTCGTTCTCACATTATTGTTGACATGTTTACTATGTTATAAATGCTAGCTTACCAGTGGGGCAACACAATCAGGTTCTGTGTGGCAAAGACAGTGAACGTTAGAAAGCTAAGTCGCCTGTCTCACTGCTTAACTGGTAACGCAGAGCTAACGTTACTGAATTTAGTGCTGACAGAAAGACTGTAAAATGACTTACATTTCATTTCTTCTTTTTCTGCTTGATAATTCTGAATATTTCATGAAAATTAAAACGCATGTCAATCAAAGTTTTTATAACTGACTGGATGTTGGGAGAGGTTAGGTTTATTCAAACGTCAGCTGCGTTATTCATTTTAGACAATTAAAAAAAAACAAAACTGCGAAAATCATGACAAACCAGCCCAAATTGTGGCCCCTCGCCACATTTTTTTCCCAACTCAATCAAACACAAAACACCCAATTTGGCAGGAAATCGTTCAATCTGGCAACACTGCCTGTAGTGTAGTTCTAATTAAGATGAATGTTTATCAATCAACCCATATTCTGCTTCTATAATCCAGATTATGATAGCGAGGTAGCAAGATATGAAACACAGGGGCATTAAATTTCAAATATATTGTTCCAAAAACTAAAGTACACTGAACAAAAAACATTTCAGGTCATTGTCATATGTTTCTGCTTCGGTATTCATGTTTATTTCTTTTCCATACGGCTCGGCCTACCTCATTTAGCACCTTTTCCTCACATCCTCAAGCTAACTTCGCAAGCTGGGGACCAGACAGTTCTTTTATAACCCCATTAAGTATCAGTGATGACACAATTTTCAGTATTAAGCTTAGTATTTCATCGAAATGTAGTGAAAATTCCACTTATCGCGCCCTTCAATTGCCCTAAATTCAAAACTCAAGCGCATCTATCACTCCAGTGGAGCATTCCGAATGACTGTACGTCGCCCCGCTGTGCCTGCAGAATAACACTGACATGTCAGTTCAATATTTCACAACTTTATCGACACCTCTGCAGGGGAGAATTCCCCCCGGAGACGCTGAATATGGCGCTCGGGTCTGGAAGCACGAGCGGGATGAGAAGAGACTTCGTTTCAAAAGCTCTTACCAAGGTTTGACATGACTGGCTCTTTTTCTTCACCTCCTCTTCGAGAACTTCACACTCCTTCCTTTTCCTGCTGATCTCAGTCTCCTGGGTGACGGCAAGAGGGAAGAAACAAAACAACAAAAAAAAAAAGCAGTTAAAACAGATTCCGCTTGCTTTCTTCGGAGGTGTAGTTTAATAAATAGCTCTCCCTTAAGGGAAGGGGCAGCGAAATGCTGACCAGAAGTGCCTGTTTGTCCGTGTGTGTGTGTGTAAAAAGCATTCTCATAAGTACTTGTGCATACTATAGTGCCATTTCTTCCAATCCACAGCACATTCATATATCCAGCGTCTATATATAGTGACCCATTGGTTTACAAATATGCCACTAGCGCACTCCATTAAAGCCCACTATAAATAGCTTTGACTTTTCGAACGCATACAGAAACACACACACATTAGCTTGTATTCCTGTCTTTGTGGGGTGTTTACATGTCCTCTGAAGCATTTTCAGTTAAAATGGTCATCTGTAAGCACCATGCTTAAACAAAGAGGTCTGTGCAAGACTGCGCAAGATTTTATCCCGCTCCCGCCTGCACCTGAAACATTCCGGCCCACTCCCGCCTGTGAGTTCCATCAAGGCAAACTGACATCCAATATTTGACACAGTCTATTCACAAATACATTATCAATACAATATCTGCTGAAATAACACGGTAGTCATGGTCATCAGGCTTACTGTGAAGCAACCTCATCATTTGCCATTTATTCCCAGTAAACACAAGCTGGTCACTTAGCAAGGTCATGCTGTTTGACCAGCATTCCAGCATTTTAAACACAACATATCCTGGCTTTGCTGGTCTATGCTAGATTTTCTAGCAGGGTAACTACGAAACTACAGCTTTTATTAACAATTAGTTCATAAAAAATGCAAAACAAAACCAAAAAAAACAGAGAATTACTACTTGTAGTGCAACATTAGACAAATAAAGTCATTGTAATTCTAGAATAAAAAAGCTAGCCACTTGTTAGTCTTACGTGAGGCTACTACCACGTCTGCTACTGTTGTCACATGACCTACTTTTCTTCGCCTTGTTTTGCGCTACAAGCAATTATCCGACATCCGAACCAGCATTTTTGCATGTATAGGCAGGGAAAGTGACCCGATCAGCAAATAACCCTGCAGTTGTGTTCAAAGTGTGGGATAACAAATGAATTACAGGTGCTGCTCACCACATGCTGTAGGGCATAACGTGCTCTGTCACGTATATATGAATATGTACATTTTTGCTTGTATTGTATTTGATGCTGTGGCACTGTTCCAAATGAAACTACCAGTAAAAGACAGAGATACAACAATTCACACAGTTTATTTCTCCAAAAGAGGCAACGAATGTGGTCACATGGATGACGTCACCACCACACACTTCGTCTGGTACCACAGCTAGGTAGTGCTCACTTCATGCACACAAGTTCAACAAGCAAACGGCATTCACAAAGTAGCGATGTCTTTAATCCTCCTAATCAACAAGACTCAATGTTGTCTCTCATTTTCTCCATACAAGAAGTGTAAAACGTGCTCATTTTTGTCAGAGGTGTCACTGAGTACCACTTACTACCACTTCAGGTAGTAATGCGATAAAACAGTGTTCATCCTCACAGTTATATGGATACAGCAGTGAATAAAATGGTGCTTTAATTGAACGTGTACAAATAAATTACACCAACACAATTGTTGTCTTTTCATTTTCTTTTGTTTTATTATTGTGTTGACATTAGGGCTGCACAACATGGACAAATCTAACTAAACTACAGAATAGCTTTGACTGCAAATAGTGCCACCTTGTGGAGAATCTGCAGCCTGCGAAACGAATTCCATGAGCCTCAGTCTTATAACAGTCAGGGTTTCCTGAGGAGCTTTTTCTATTTGTGTTTGCAGTCAGGCTACAAACAACAAATATATATGTATATTATTATATTCAATATAGGCCTCCAAAAATAAATATAAATTTAATTCCTTAAAGAGTTCCTTATGATGATGCACGTTTGTTGTCACAGTAGCTATTACTGCCTCCTACATTTTCCCTCACGGTCTACGCACTTTACAGACAACACTAACAGCGAGAACAGCCACTGTTTATTGAGAGCGGGAGTTTTGTGACTGGTTTTGGAACTGAATGGCCAAGTTTGATGTTCTCCATGTGGACGAGCAAGTTTCAAACCCAGCACAGGAAAGTGCTCGTTGGGCTCCAAATGCTGCTCACTTTGGTGCTGCATATGGTAATTTAATCTGTTCTTTCATGGCAGTGATGAGTTTATCATGATTATACAGCCCTAGTTGACATCTGAATCAAGTAAATCTCAAGCATTTTGGTACAAGATTGGTGCAATCTCCCAAACTTTTTGTCATCGTATGGACATTTGGTCCCCAAAAAGGTCTAAATACACACATTCACACCTACGATGTTACATACACATCTTGATTTGTTCCACTTCATCTTTCCTCATAAACATAAAGCAGCAGCCTTGAATTCAAGGATCAGAAACTTGCTGCATGGTGTGCAAGTGGCCTGTAAAGATACTGATAAAGGCACTGATTGATGGATTTAAGAGGGGGAGGGTTCCATCACGTCCCTCCATCTATATTACATACTGGCTCAGCTCACACACGCAGCTGAAATGATCCGTGTCGTGTGTGTGTGTGTGTCAGCACAGGCTTGCTTAGCCCTCAGCGCCGCGTACAAGACTGATGAGCCTCCACTGTTAATGTCAGTCTCTAATTACAGCCCCCTATGAGACACACACACACATGTGCATGTGTGCTGTAATTTCAACACTCCAACCCCAACACTGTTCGATGCTGCATCAGCTAATGGTCAAAGCCTTTTCCCCGCTCTCCAGAGAAACAGGTAAAGCCTGAGCGAGTGTAGGGGGGACTGTGTGTGGGAGTGTGTGTGGGAGGCTACAGATGGCCGTTCTGTCTGTAACGGCTGTAACAGTCTCTCAGACACACATGCACACACAACATAAGTCGCCCCTGTGCGGTAAATGTGTATAGATGAGTGTACAAATCCATCCTGTTCACTGATACAGAGGGTGGGCGTCAAAAACTGAGCAAACCATGAAGTCTTTTTCAGTGTAACCTCTATCTGTCACGTCAGTAACATACGGTCAATTACACAGACAGTCATTTCAACACTTTTCCCACCACTTACTAAAAGAGGTTCTGAGTCAACAGCTTTTCTGTTCTGTTATTAAAAGAGAATTCATATAATGAAATGGTTTAGATGTAAACAGTCATTCAGAGTTTGATAGGAAGCAGACGTTTTATGAGTTTAATGCTGATAAAAGCTACCTGAAACTACAAGAAATGGTTGTGAATACACTGCCTGAAGCCGGAGACATTGTTTTATGATTGTTTTGGCCTAAAAATATAAGTAAGGCAAAATAGTCTCAAAAGAAAACATTTTTAAAAGTTTTATTTTCAGATTTCCCACTATTTTCCCACTACTTTTCCACTATCAATCGTATATATACATATATACATATATATATATATACAGTGAACCATTTCACATCAAACTAATCACAGATCAATAGAATTAGAAAAAAATGATGGAATTTCTCTTAATATACAGGTAAATGCATTAAAATGATTGTCTCTGGTAATCCACTGCATGATACAGAAAGAGATTAGGTTGGAAAGCGCTGGAGTCTTCCTTTAATCAGAGTTAATTCCATGTAGTAAATCAAACATATAACTGTACGGATGATGGATGGATAGATGGATGAATGGATAGATGGATGGAAGGATAGCAGTACAGATGGATGAATGGGTGGTTGGACAGACGAATGGATGGGCAGATGGATTGATGAATCACTGGATGGACAGATGAATGGATGGACAGATGGATGAATGGATGGTTGGACAGATGAATGGATGAACTGTTGGTTGGATGGATGGATGGATGGATGAATGGATGGATGGACAGATGGATGACTGGATGGCTGGACAGATGAATGGACAGACAGATGGACGGATATATCATCAGATGGATGAACGAATGGATGGACAGACAGACGGACAGAGGGATTGATGGATGGATGAATGGATGGATGGAAGGATGAATGGATAAATGGATGTATGGATGGAAGTGTTGAATGAATGAACGAATAGACAGATGATTCGATGGACAAATACTGGCTACGAGTACTACTTCCCATAAACATATACTGAACTGAGGAAATGATTACTAGCTGGGGTAGATATAAAGAGCGCGTACCACTCCTACACATGAGCTCCTGCCAAAGAGGATCTAGACAGCAGTCATGGGTCAGCAGCATCAGTGCACACAGCAGGTGTATTTCCAAAGGGAACAGACTCATCCTGAAATATCACTGAATTGCTTGTAGCGTATCATAACATAAAGTAAGGTATGTCACATGGTAACAGCAGCCACATGTAGCCTAATGCTAACATAAGACCAATGACCAGTGGCCCAAAGTAGCGAAATACTTAACACTAGATGTCCACTGTAAAACTTCTCATTTTAAAAGAAATATTGGATCTGTACTGGTTTCAGTACTGGGGGTACTGTGCTATGTCCAGTATGCATATGTGCATATGCACCCATGCTGGCTATAGACATATTCATGCCACTTACTGTTTCTCTACAAATGCATCAGTCCAGAGCTGTGTCACATACAGGGCCACATTACACTGGAATGGCAATCCAGTAGTGTATGCTTGGACTACAGAAAAGGACTAAAGCAACTACTAAATACAACCCTATTACCAAAAATACAATGCAATGATATGCAAATAATTTGACCTGTATTTTTAAAGGAAAATACTACAAAGACAACATATCAAACATTAAAACTGAGAAATGTTATTGTTTTTTGAAAAATATATGCCCGTTTTGAATTTGATGCCGACAACACATTCCAAGTTGGGACGGGGGCCTGTTTACCACTGTGTTTCATCACCTCTTCTTTTAAACAACATTTCGTAAGAGTTTGTGAACTGAGGAGACACTGCTGTAGTTTTGAAAGTGAAATGCTTTCCTGTTCTTGTTTGATAAAGGATTTCAGCTGCTCAACAGTTC